GTGAAATGATCACAGTCAAGCTAATTAACGTATCCATCACTTCATATTCCATTTTCCTTTCCTTTCTTTCTCTCTGTCTTATGGCAGTTCAGAGGCCTTCTTAGAGTAAAAGATTATCTTAAAGTCTTTCACAAACAGTTGTCATTTTTTCTTATTTATGTTGACGAGCAATTAACATGATCTGTTTTTAATCTCTTTTCAAGGGTGGCACTTTTACAATCTCCAATTTAGGAATGTTTGGAATTAAGAACTTCTCTGCTATTATTAACCCACCTCAAGCATGTATTCTGGCAGTTGGTGCTTCAGAGGATAGACTGCTTCCAGCTGATAATGAAAAAGGGTGAGTGCCAAAATGGAGAGGGAGTTGTAAGCTCATTTTCATTACATTACACCTGTTCTTGAGTCTCAGTTTTACAGTTATTGGCATGGCATATTGAAGCTTCAGGTAGAGTCAGACGTAAGTATAGAATGAAGTTTCTCAGGGCAGCATCTCTTATTTTACTAAATGTAGTTAATCCTATTTGAGATGGGAGACCTTATTTACTGTAAGTCAGGGGTCAGTATACTTTTTATTAAAGAGCCAGATAGTTAATATTTTAGGCTTTTCAGATCATGTGGTCTCTGTTGCAGTTATCTGCCATTATAGTATGAAAGCAAGCATAGGGAATACATAAATGAATCCTAATTAACCTGCATTTGGTGAGATTTGGCCTGTGGGCTGTAGTTTGCTGACCCACGCTCCAGATGGCTGTTTGGTCTATTTCTTCAAGCTATTAATATGAGCTAGAGGTATACAGGACATGAAGACTTGGTAGAGAATGGTGATACCTGGTTGGGATTAAGAGTAGGAGTTGGCAGTTGGGCTGGTTACTGGCAGATCTAGTGATTGCTTTCAGAATACCTAATAATGTTTTTATCTTTTTCTAGATTTGATGTGGCTAGCATGATGTCTGTTACACTCAGTTGTGATCATCGGGTTGTGGATGGAGCAGTTGGAGCCCAATGGCTTGCTGAGTTTAGAAAGTACCTTGAAAAACCTATCACTATGTTGTTATAATTAACCCAAGAATTTCTAGACTCTCCCAGGTCACACTGGTTCATTCTTATCAAGATATAAATATGTTATTAAACAGGTATTCTTTTTATTTTAAAGTTAACCAGTTATTTTTGAGTCTGTCTGGATAAGTTATTTGTAATGTGCATTACTGAATTTTTTTAAATGCCAATTACACTCAAATATTGTGCACATTTAATAAACACCAGATTTTAAGCTGTGTACTCCTAGTCAAGGGACATGTGGCCTAGCCCTTTGGTGATAAGTACTTCCACTGGGAAATATAGAAGTAGAATTGTGGTTCCCTATTGAGACAGGTTCGAAAAGTAACCTGGATGAAACCTTGAGGTTTTGAAATTTAATTGCCTCACATCTTTTGCTTAGATTTGAGGGAAAGAGAAGTCAGGAAAATTAGTTCTCTTGGAAAAGAGAATTCTCTTTGAATTGAAGCTTGATTTTGGAATTTAACCCTAATTTAAATTTTTCTGTTACATGATCTTGGTTTATCAGGGATAGGAAGGGTAGAGAACTTAAAGGAAAATAAGTGAAATTTTAAAAGTCACCATTTTCTTAGACCTCTTAAATCAACTGTTCTTTATTTTTCTATGAATCCTGAAATGGTTGTTTTCCCCTCTTGAGATGAAGATATAAATATAAACCAGCTACTTGGTATAAGTGAGAATTTGTATGGGTAGTTATGTAAACAATTTAAATGTATAATTCTGAGAGCAGAATTCCACAGTTATCTCCAAATAAAAGAATATGCTTATAGAATTTAACTGAGAGAAGTTGTGAAAGTAGAATTTTTCCTCCAAGATTAACTGGTGGTTACTTGCAAATGAACTTAATTACCAGAATTTATTACTCAAATAACTTTGGCAAACTGTGTCAAGTAACTATGGAATAAGTGTACATATGTAAAATATGATTTCTAGTGAGGTATGTGCCAAAGTCCATTTATCACCAAGTCCTGTCTGAAAAGAAGAGGGGGAGAGATACACTGGTGAACAGTTTGGAGTGCTAAAAGATCATGGCCAAAACAAAGTGGTCATGTCTACTTGGATAAAGGAAAAAATATTAAATGTGTACAAAAAAAGTGTTCTGTGTTTTTCCACCCCAGTGTTGTCTCATGTAAAATAAGAAAGTCCTAAAATCCTATTGCAGAGAAAAAATTATTTAGGTTGCATGCTTCCTTATCAGCCTAAATATTTTTTTCTATTTTGTTACAATTTGCCTTTCTTCTGTGGCGAGGAAGGAGGAGGTGATATTTAGGATAATAAAAATGAATTGGGAACATTATTACAATTCCAGACTTTCTATTGAATTGATATGTTTCAATAAATACTTGGAATTGTTTATGACTATTTAAAATAAATCTGACCAGTGCTTCCTTGTATATGTACTACGTGGACTATCCCCTGAAATTTAGGTCTTTCAGTGTTGAATCTTTTATTATTACATGGTGCACAAGTGACACTCCGTATATTCCGCAAACATCCTTGCTGTATTATTATGAAGACAATTCAATACATTAATCTGATTTTTCAGTATTTAGTAATTTTAGCTTGAATTGAAGATTATGCAGAAGGAACAAGCTTATCACAGGGGACCATCGTCAATATGAGCCACATCTGGTTCAAATACATGAAACTTCAAAAACAATTCATTCTTTGCTAATGCTTATGGCTCTGTTGTTCCCTTGATAGAAAAATAAAAACTCCTTCTAATAAAAATTGTTCTGAGTTAAAAATCTGAGCTATAATTTAAATCTGGATTCATTCTATTTCTCTTACCAGAACTGAAAGAAAAAAAGTTAGAAGTAGTGTTTTTTGGTTCAAATTAGATTGTTTAAAAATTAAACTATATAGGCTGGCCCTGTGGCCGAGTGGTTAAGTTCATGCGCTCCACTTCTGCGGCCCAGGGTTTCGCCGGTTTGGATCCTGGGTGCGGACATGGCTCTGCTCATCAAGCCATGCTGAGGTGCATCCCACATAGCACAGCCAGAGGCACTCATGGCGAGGATATACAACTATGTACTGGGGGGCTTTGGGGAGAAGAAGAAAAAAAAGAAAAAGAAGATTGGCAACAAAGGTTAGCTCAGGTGCCAATATTAAAAAAAAAAAATTTTAACTGTATATTTCTAATGTGTCTTGCCTAATTTTTGATCTTTTGGTAATTGTTTTTCCCATTAAATGATTAAGACCAGGGACAGCTATGTACATATAAGCTCTTGATACATTTTGGTTTTCTAGAATTGGTAAAATAAGGACTGAGTTTAGGAGGATAGTTTAAGCTCAAGGAGTTACTGAAGCACCTCGTGTTGGGGTGTAGCTCTGTTAGATATTTAACTCCAGTCCTGAGTGAGTGAAGATATGATGTCCCAAGGCATGGTTACAAGAGGAGTTGACCAACGCGAGATGACAGGAATGTGTTGCAAGGAATACTCATTACCTAGTAATGCACAAGCCCTGGAATACATGGGAATATAATCACTGCCGATAATCCCTCTAAAACCAAGTTTGTAGAAAAATCTCCCTAAATCAAAGATAATTAATGTCCATCTCAAATAATTTCCAATTTTGAGGAAAAAACTTGATACAATTCAAATTTACTCCACAGTTCATTAGTTAATGCTCTTGGGCAAAGTTTTGCTTTTTGTAGGGAGGGTGAGATATGTTTTTATGAATATAAAATCCATTGAAACAATATGTGACATGTTTTGCAAAATCGGTTGTCAATTTAACATTTTAACTTTAAGCGTTGTTAGATCTTGATACACACTTTAGTAATGAGTGTACAGGCACATAGCTGCTGACACAAGTAACACCTAAGTGCTGTGACTGCACGAGTAGATGATTCAGTTAGTTCTGCGTGGGGAGGTATGGGAGTTTCTAGGAATGTGATTTGACAGCGATTTTGTAGAAGGAAAGAGGAAAGCATTCCAAGTTTTCTGAGGGATGAGAATATAATAGGTTTGTTAATTTTAGGACGTTATACACTTGTGGAAAACTTTGATGATGTACTATTCTATTGCTAGGAGAATTCAGATCCAGGCCAGGTTTAAGAAAATTATATTTGTTTTTAAATGTCATATATTAGTTATTTCTATTACACATACAACATTAGTTTCTAAAGTTAAAAAGCTTTAAAATTAAGAAGGACCTCATTTAAAGACCTTATGTTGAACTAGAAACCAATAATTACAAGGAAGCTGTTTTGTATCTAGAAAAGACAATTAAGGGATGTTTAAAGTTTGAAATGAACCTTGCTTACTTGTGATATAAATTGGAAAGTTGATAGCTTGGTATTGAACAACCGTTTGACAACTTAGATGTATAGGAGTTGAAAAGTACATTACTTCTGCATTTTTTTTTTTTTAAAGATTTTATTTTTTTTCCCCTTTTTTCTCCCCAAAGCCCAAAGCCCCCCGGTACATAGTTGTATTTTCTTCGTTGTGGTTCCTTCTAGTTGTGGCATGTGGGACGCTGCCTCAGCATGGTTTGATGAGCAGTGCCATGTCCACCACGCCCAGGATTCGAACCAACGAAACACTGGGCTGCCTGCAGCAGAGCGCACGAACTTAACCACTCGGCCACAGGGCCAGCCCCTACTTCTGTATTTTTAAAATTATTAGGAGAAAGGCACTTGTCTCAAAAGTCAACTCCTTTTTCTTAAACTAGAATTGGATGTATTTTGTGTCTTACGTGCAGTAACATTCAGTTACTGTTACTGCATGTATCCAATCCAAAGACAAGTCCACATCTGACATTTAAAGGTTGGCTTGGGTAGCTTAGACTGCTGCCAGAGCTGTTTTATAGAAGTACAGAGGTTCATAGAAGCAGAGGTTTGCATATTATTACATAGGCCCTGTATCTTTATTGCTGGTGGAAACTTTAATTGCTATGGCCCATCTTGGTAATAAAAAACATCTTGCACAGTCTAGGACTTATTCCTAATGCAAAAATTTACTCGAGACAAAATTTTTTTCAACCAGTAAACCAGGAATTCTCACAAGTTACTTAGAAACAAAATTCCCCAAATGATACTTAAATTACTTAAGACCATTACAAATATCTTCAAAACAAGTATATCATGGCAAGACTTTAGTAGTTTCTGCCTGATGCCAAGTTTATTTGAGGAGAAAGAGTGAGTTAAAAAAAAAAAACAGCTGATGAAAAAAATCTCATTCCATCTAAAGGAACTCTTAGAAAATATGAAACTAGTGTTTAAGATAAACCACTACCTCTTCACCCGTAATGAGGGTCCTATAATTCCCATGACTTTAGCACTGAAAACCCAAAACACGTGATGCTCTTGATTTACACAAGTGGCATCGTGACGAATAATGTAGCTTTCTCTTTAATAAATTTTGCTGTAGTCATTTCAGTATCCACAGATTCTGGAAGATTCAGATGTAATCTGTACTTCTCAGAGACCTCGATCAGTAAATCATCCTAAGAATAATAAACCAAGAAAGATTTTAAAAGATGAAAATAGAAAAGTATTTTCTGGTTAAAGTTTGTGCTACCAGATTATTGTTCCCAGTTATTCACTCCTTTCCCCTGAGAAGAACCTACTTATTGCTATATGACTGGCAATGAGCATTAAAATTGCTGATATAAATCCCTGAGATTTTGAGGTTATTTGTTACTGCTGCACAATACATCGAAAGTTAACTGATATGGTACCAGAAGATGAATGTTGCCATCCTAAATTATGTGGCATGGACTTTGGGGCTGAACAGCAAAGAGCAAGGAAACTTACTGGAGAGTGGAAAGATGGTGATCCATGTTTTATAGCGCTAAAGCTCTGAGTAAAACTATCACAATAATTTGGAAGACAAATAATGTATCTGGTTAATTTGTGGCTTTAGATAAAGAAATGGGAAAATGAAATGTTGGTATTATGCATTGGTTCTATGGGCTACATTTAACAAGGTACTACAAAAAGATGAACTTAGAAAAGAATTTCCCAGTTTACAAGAAAAATTGAAAGGGAATATACAGAGCCCAGAAATTCTAAGACTGAAAAATGGAACTAATTTTTCTTTTCAACCAGTAAAGGATAAAATTACGTTTTATCAACAAAGGCTGATTAAAACAGCCTAGAGGCAAAGACTAAATCACAAGTCTTTATACCCTTTGTTAAAACCTGACTGGATTAAGGTGGAGCTCAGTAGATCCTTACATTTTGCCCAAATGACAGCAATTAGGTCAAAAGAGACAGACCATTGAAAAATCGACATATCTAAGAAGAATTTTGGTAGACTGATGGGAATCAAAGAAATAAAATGCTGCCAGCCTGGACTAAAACTAATTTAAAATAATCTCTGCACCCTTACATTCCGTGGGCATGAAACAGGCTGCGTTAGCTCCTTAGCACCCAAGGATAGCGTAGTCTCCAATGTTATTTTCAGATGTGGCCAAGGTGGATAGTGAAAAAGGAAAAAACCTCCCAAAGAATGGAACTGAAGGACACAGAAAATAATGGAACTAGGGGGCGAGGTAATCAACGAACCTTGTCATGGGACCTAAGCAAGAACATCTACCTCCAGGAAAGTGACCCTTGCAATATCTGCCTACCAGGATTTCAGAACTGCTCTGGCTCATATTTTTCGCATTTCCGAACTGAGACCGCTAACTATGGTTATCCTCTCCTCATTCCACATTGTATGGTGCATGGGGTTACAAGAGTCGATAGCTTGTCTTTGTGGATCAAGAGGAGCAGAAGGTGGACTACGATGGCAAAATCATGTAATTTGGAATCTGATGCTGGGATTGGAGGTCTTCCTTGGGGAGAGAAGCAAATGTCTGTGACCAAGAGAGTGGACTGTGGTAGGTTGTAGGATTGTTGCCAATTAGTTGCTGTAAAAGGATTACATCTCTCTACCATGTAACTTCCTGTGGCCAGCTGTGAAAAGGATATTCTTCCCAGCCCTACTGATATAGGACCTGGCCTTGTGACTTACTTCGGCCCACAGAATGTGAGTAAAAGTGACATATGCCATGTCTGAGAGGAAGTTTTAGGATCCACTGCATGGTTTGGCCATTTCTATTTTCCCTTTGCCATGAGAATGGCATATCTCAGATGGAAATTGCTCCTTCACCTGTTATCTTGAAATGTGCAAGACTTGTGGAGCAGAGCAGGGCTAGCTGACACGTCACCTGACAATTATTGTAAACCACTGAGATTGTAGAGTTTGTTACTATAGCGTGATCTAGTGAATGTTGACTGATAGAAATTTACAGTATTATCTATTCAACTTACCTCAGAAACACTAAGGTCACAGAGAGATACTGAATTAATACCAGGTAATTCTACTTTTAATTCAATTTTCAGAGGTTTCTCATTTTGATCCACCACAACTTTTAATTCGTAGATTGGTCTTTTCATCTCCACCTGGATCTCTGTACTGGACATCTCTTGTATCAGACACCCTGTTTTGCCTGAAACTTGGTTTTTTGGCAGTAAAAGTTGAGGAAAGTGATCTGTGTTGCTCACAGTACTGCTTCTTATCTGTTCAAGGGTTAGTTCTTTATGAAAAAAAGGGGGAAGATGAAATCACAAAATTAATCAACAACATAAAATACTAACAGGCCATAAGCTATATGTAGTGTTAGCTGAGATGGCAGATAAAGCTGCAGCTAAATTAGTTTGGGAATCTTAAAAGAGTCTTAAACCAAAGAATTTGGTTTAAAAGTATGCAGGATTTAAAAATCTTTAAGGACACGCTAATATTTCTAATATATAATCTTTATATTTATCTATCTTAAGTTTCTTTTAAAATTGAGACTTCTAGTTTGCAAAATGTACACAGGATGCAAACAAATTTAAATCAGTTTAATTTTCTATTTCCATTCATTAACTTACCCTTTCTCATTTTCTCTCTTAAATCTGTGGGGTCAGTTTGGATTCTCATCAGATTTTGTTTCATCCTTTGAATGCTTCCTTTTATCCTAAATTTGGTGATATGGTAAGAGTGTGAGAGAGTGAACTGAAGTTGTTCCTCAATGCATTTCATGGCCATCCATATTAATTGATCTTTTTTTACTTGGTCCTCTTCTGCTGCCTGGAGAACATCAGGATTATAGGCAACATCGATGACTGTGTAAACATCTGTGTGTGTAATTCAGAGGGTGTGAAATGAAGACAACTTGTTTCACTAAGGATATTGTCAGGTAATACATTAAGCCACAATCCTGATAAAGCTAGAGAGTATAAATTCGATTCTTATATTTTATTTGGGTTAAAAACGGCTCATATTATTAGAAAAACCAAACAGTATTCAATAAAGGTACACTTATTAGTCATTAACTACATTATAACTAAATAAAATATTTTACTTATAATGCCTTTTGCCAAGTAAAATTTGGTCCATGCTTATTCTCAATAAAATTTTTTTAATGTGTTTTCTCGGCCATAATTCTATGTACCTGATGCCTCAGACATATCTTCTGGTCTTCCAATACTTAGAGGTACTGGATGTGTGGTTGACTGGGGAGCTGGGATCCTTTTCCACCCACATAGGTTGATAAAAAGTATTTTTTCTTTTGGTTTCTAGAAAGCAAATAATTTTGCATATCTCAAAATCTAGTTTTTTATTTTTAAATATCTTAAAGGTCAAAGAATTTGAAGAGTGAGAACTTTAGGCTCCAAGTAAGTCATTGCATGTATTAAAACTGTGTTTGAGAAATTAGACTGTTACCTGATTTCCCCAAAGCTGCTGGCTTTTCATCAAGAATCCAGTTGCTGCTCCCAGAGTATCTGGGAGGAGGCAGGAGGAGTTGATCTAAGCAGCTGTTCCAGGTGAATTTGTTTGACCCTGTTTCACCACTTCCTTACTTCCCACACTAAATAAGTTCTCTTTATTTGAAAAATCTCCAACTCCATGCAGCTCTATTAAATCATTAAATTACTTATTTTCATTCTAGCAGAAAAATGGCTCATTTTGAGATCTCCAAAATATATCAAATATGAATGTCCCATTCTTACTCCTTGAAAACAATCTCCCACACTAACACACTACTACAGGATCATTTCATTCAGGACCTCCCCATCCCTGGGCACCGACTCTACATACCAGGATCCTAGTTTGTAGACAGAACTGTGGTTCTGGGGCTGCACAGAGCTGTTTCCCCTCTTTCAACTGCTGTTGAATGAACTTCTCATAGCTCTCAGGATTGCTTTCAGCCAGATCATCTAGGAGGTTCCAGAATTGAGTAACTTGGCTGAGCAGACCCTTTGAGGATGACTCCATGATTCAAGTGAATAGGCCTCTTAAGTCTGTGGAAAGACATGACTTAAGGGAAAAGAAAGTCTTTGTAACTATTGATTCCTTTCTTCTTTTAGTGGAGGAGGAAAAGGTCAGAAATTGTTTGGGTGAAGTTAGCAGCTATCCTTAACACCTGTGTCTAAAAAACTGGGCTCAGCACCACTATATCTTTTCCTTATTCTCTAATTACCTACCACCCCTTCCTAAATTCTCAAGTTGTCCTCTCAAATAGGGCCTTACCTCTGCCTAGAACCTCACAAGCCCTGAGGGGACAGAGTAGTCACTTTAAGTCTGGATTTCCTGGTGATTTTCTTGTTCCAGTACCTAGGTATTGGCTGACTGGTGCCTATCCAGTCCTGAAATTGCCAGAGGTGTGTGTGGGGTGAGGGCCACATGAGACTTCCTCAGTCCTCAGCATAGCCTAGTATTTAAAAGCATGGGCTCCAGCCAGAAGCCTCGATTCCAGTCTTAGCTCTATCACTTCCTGGGTGTGCGACCTTAAGAAATAATCTATATATGTGCCTCACGTTATTCTCCCCAGAACGACGACGATAATACCTATCTCATAGGGTTCCTGTGAGGATTAAGTAAGCTAATAGAGGCCGGAACACCTGGTAAACACTAGATGAGAATAATAATATCCTCTCTGTCTTGAGATAACCTCCCTCACTGGAGACGTGTCCCACAGCAGCCACAGAATGAGGAAAAGACGAGGTTTGGGTTCTTCGAATACTATATTAGGATCAAACTAAATGGGGAACTGAATCGACAGACAATCATTCCACAGTTCGGCAGACTCACCTCCTCTCTCAGTTCCTTGACAAACCGCGACACCTGTTACCAGGGTAACCAGACTGGGTACAACATCTAATTGGGTCCGGGAAGCTGCAGACAGAAAGGTCCTTTCACATCCAGTTCCGGAATCTCCCCCTTCTGCTGCTGGGCTAGCTTTTCAGCTGAGCCCGACCCACTTCTTTTTCAGGAAGCCGCCCGCCTCCCTTCTGCACCTGTCGACCTCTAGAGTGTCCTGGAAACCCTCCCTGTGGGAGTCTCTGGGCGTCCTGTTGGTGGGAAGAATTTCTCAGGAGCACGACTTCCGGTCTGAAAGGGAAGCCTGCTCGCTTTTCTCGCAGACCGCTTTCTCCCCCCACCCCCGCCACGCGAGGCTGCGGCGCACGGTATGGGTGTGTTTGTGTGTATTTGTGTGGGGAGGGCGTTTGGAGGGAAGGTTACCGGGAGCTCTGTGGCCGCAGGGGGGCAGGGATCCCGGTGACAAAAATGGGGGTGTTTTTTCTCTCTTCCACTTGGAAGCCTCAACTCCCCCTTCAGGCACGCTAGATGCTTCTTGGGGCCCAGTCGACGGCCATACCCCTCCAGCGCGTCCCCATCCTTTCTGGGGAGCTAAACCCACCCCCCGGGGCCATCCCGGAGGAGCGTGAGCGGGGAATGCCCCAGCCGCCCCGCCGTCCGGATCCCGCGCCGGCGCAGCCTCGGGCCTCGGTCCGGAGAGATTGTCGGTCTGGGCTGGGGGAAAGGCAGCCGTGGCCTGGGCCGCGGGTGAGGGCAGAATAACCCGTGGGAAGGCTGCATTTTCACGAAGGACTCGGGTGAAGCTGCAGAGCTGCCTTTGAGCCCTGACTCCTTGGCTTCCTGGGTCGGAGGAGATCTTGTAATGGAGTGGTTCTTCGTCTCACACTAACAAGATGCCTGATTTCCTCAGGATCGAGGGGTGAGTGAGTGGTGGGGTGGTTGCACAAAGCCCCTGCTAGTGCACACGTGAATATCCCTGTCAGAATAGAAAATGAAATTCCCCTAAATGGAGAAATTGAGGGTATCTCTGCATTCGATGGTTTTGGGTCTCAGTTTTTGTTACTGTTGACATTTGTGATCCCTGAGGCTCTCAAGTCTAGGTATTCGCAAGCTAATTTTGGGATTCCAGAGTTGATTTCTAATCAGGACCTCGTTTGCCTTGGACTGTGTCGCCTGGGGCAAGTTATGGCTTTAAGGGAATTTCATCTACCAAGTAGGAAGGAAGTTACTTGCCTTATATAAAATAATAGAGTTATTTTGAGGATTAAATAAAATGATGCTCTTGAAAGCACTTAATTTTGTGCAGTTTCAAAGAACTCCAGTGTACATTATCTCCTTTCATCCTGACATTAGTGTGGTCAGGCATTTCCCCCTTTTAATGGTGAAGGAAAAACTATTCCTCAGGATCTCTGACTTCCAGTTCAGTGATCGTTCCTTTACCATACGCTTCTTTATAACATTGTAATGGAAGACAAGTAATAAAGAGAATTGTTATTATTAAATGTTATTTATTGATTCATTTCAGATTGAAGAATGTCCCGGGTTCCATTGGGGAAAGTCCTCCTGAGGAATGTCATCCGGCACACAGATGCTCACAATAAGGTGAGAGGTAGAACCTCGTTATTTCTCAGCCTTCGATGAGCGTATGCAGTGCACCTAGCATTATTTTGGTACAGTTGGGAGATACAAAGATGAATAAAATAGATAATTACAATATAATTTGATAAGTACTTGTAACAGAGACATATACAAAGTGCTTTAGTGCACTGAGGAAGGAATAGTGAAATCTGCCTCGGGGAATTAGGAAAGGCTTCACAGAACTGGTGGTATTTGAGTTGCTGATATTAGAACTAATTCCTTTTTATTTTATTTTTTTATTTTTCTAAGATTTTATTCTCCCTTTTTCTCCCCGAAGCCCCCTGGTACATAGTTGTATATTTTTAGTTGTGGGTCCTTCTAGCTGTGGCATGTGGGAGGCTGCCTCAGCATGGCCTGATGAGCGGTGCCATGTCCATGCCCAGGATCCAAACCATGAAACTCTGGGCCGCCGAAGCAGAGCACGTGAACTTAACCACTTGGCCACGGGGCCGGCTCCTGAACTAGTTCTTGATGAACAGTTTCAAGTTTGCCAGGTGTAAAAGATCATTCCAGACAGAACATCATGTACTAACATGGCAACAAGATAGTGCATGAAGCACTTGGGGCATGGCAAGAAATTGTGTGCATCCAGAAAATAGGGAATGCGGGGTATAGTGACGATGAGGCCTGAGTGATAAATTAGAGTTGGATTATGATGCTTGGAGATTAGACTTTTCCTCTAGGCAATAAAGCAGCCATCAAATGTTTTTAAGGAGGATGTGACATAATTGTATTTTAGAAAGACGATTTGTTAGCTGGGTGGGGGATAGAGCAGATGGGTGAAACAGGAGAGAAATCAGTTAGGTAAATACTGTGTTTCAGATGAGAGAGAGTGAGGGGTTGGCATGAAAGCAGTGATAGTACTGATGAAGATGAAGAATTTAGGAGATAGAATCCAAAGAACTTTGTGACTTATAGGATGATAATGATAATTATAGAATCGAATATAAACATCTTGGGTTATGTATATTGAATGGGTGAATGATGATGATGCCATTAATTGAGATGAGAAACAAAAGCAAAGGGACAAGTGTGATGGGAAAGGTAATTAGTTTGGTTTTGTACATGTTGATGGTGAGGTGCTTATAGGATGTCCAAACAGGTGAAAATTCAGACTTGGAGGAAAGGAGAAAAGTTGAGGCTGGACATAAAGGTTTGGGGATTATTGATATGTGGGAATTGATAGAGGTCATGAGAAGAGATGCGGTCACCTAGGAGAGCACATATGATGAAAAGAGGGCCGAGGACCCTTTGGTTTTCTTTGGTGAACTGTACAACTCCTAGTTTGATCATAAGTGTTATTACTATCATATTACCTGATATTTTGATTGTGAGTGAAGGTGTAATTGTTACCTAAGCAGCCTCTGTCGTTAGGTTAAACAACCCCTAGCTGGGTGGTGAGCTTGGATTTGAAAGTCGTGGCTAAAAGAGAGAAACCAACCACAGATCGAACAAAACATTACATGAAGACTTAGAAATAAAGTGTATTCTTGTTCTTTGGGCAGTTGTAATCTGCTTTTCAGGAAATTCTCCAGCAGTTCTCATACTGTTTGTTCTATTTTGTTTTGCTTTGCTTAACAAAGATTATAATGTTGTGAAAAGAGACTTAGCCTAGAAAGTTTAAAGACCTGTCCTTACCAGCTTTTGACTTTGGTAAAATCTCTGAGCTTTTGTTTCTTCTCAGTAAAATGTAATAATGGTACCTGCTTTGTTTTCCTCATAAGATTGCTTAAGTTTCAACTGAGATGATACAATTAGAATCATAAAGCATTTTAGAAACATAAGACATTATCATTTGCTAATTGCAGCATAATTGCAAAATTGATGAGGTGGTAAGTGTGTCTTTGTAGGGGTTAAAAAGTTCTCCTTTTGCTGCAAAATTCTACTTATTTGTGATTTACGGGGTCAGATTTTTTTAACCACTCTAGAGAAACCAGGATTTGCTTCCCAGGTTCCTCATTGTAACCCAGTCTGTAATCCAATAATTAGTGCAGACTGTATCTTCAGTTACTTTTCTGTGATGTAAAGTTATTTTTGTTAACTTATTTTTATTTCTTTCCTTTTTAAAAAATCTAGATTCAGGAGGAATCGGATATGTGGAAAATAAGAGAACTGGAGAAACAGATGGAAGATGCTTACCGGGGGACTAAAAGGGAAATGTTACCCAGCAGTTCAAGGTGAAGTTGCAGCTCTGAGAACTGTAATAATTCTCATCTTACTCAGAATCATCAACTTTTGTTTAAAAACACTTTGGTGTGCTAAAGATAGATGAACTCAGTTCTGTGAGTCCCTAAGTCTTCTGACTCTCATAAATCTAGACCCAAGCATAAAGGTAATGGCCAGGATGCATATGGCCTCACTCTTTGTATTTGTTTGCAATGGAGAATTTAAAAATTCTACCTTAAACAATTGTAAACTTCAGAGATTCTGTGAATTCTGACTTTGCTGGATGGCTTTTTACTTAAGATTTTCTATTGGTATCTTATGGTCACTTAGCTGATCATTCACTCCTTTCCCCTGTTAGTCTTTCATTCTCTCTCTCAGCCTTTTGTTTACTCCATCTACTCACTATCTTTGCCAAGTCACACAGCCTTTCACATTACCTTCTTAATAATTTGAATGTGAATATGAAGGATTGTGCAGGCTTAGTTGTCTTACCCGTGGAGGTATAGAAGCGTCTGAGTATTGGGAACATCTCTTGGGCCTCATATGCCTGCTAGTGTAGAGCTCTGTGTATGAAAAATGACTATAAAGTAATAATGCTGATTTCTAAAGCCACCCAGGGAAATAGTTAATAGTAAGATATTTAAGGAGAGTGATTGTGCCTGTGGAGTATGTGAACTTTGGGGGGTGTGAACGGCTTCAGACAATAAAGTATTCAGGGTATCCATGTTAAAGAAGTCAGAGTCTCAACATAAAAATAAATATCTTTTCAGTCTGTTTTCTAAAAAGATGGTCCTTTGAGAATTTAGAAGTACAGTTACTGAAGATGATGATTTGTTTTGTATTGGTTGTTCAATTCCAAGTGGCATTTCCATGAACAAAATATTTTTCTTTTAGAGTGGACTATTAATGCTTGTTATGGTGAATAAATTTTTAATAACAATCTCTTTAGGGGCAGAGATTCTGATTGCCTCAATTGCTATTATATTCCCAGCAGTTAGAACAGTCCCTGGCACATAGGAGGCCCTTAAACATTTTTTTTTTTTTTTTTTTTAATTTTATTTTTTCCTTTTTCTCCCCAAAGCCCCCCGGTACATAGTTGTATATTCTTCATTGTGGGTCCTTCTAGTTGTGGTATGTGAGACGCTGCCTCAGCGTGGTCTGATGAGCAGTGCCATGTCCGCGCCCAGGATTCGAACCAATGAAACACTGGGCCGCCTGCAGCGGAGCGCGCGAACTTAACCACTCGGCCACGGGGCCAGCCCCCCTTAAACATTTTTGATAACTGATTAGCTGGCTTGGTGACCTGTTAGTCAACATATAAGCACAGGCGGGATCAGTGGTTCTCGTACCCCAACATACTCATGGGTTAGGCCTTGCTCACTATAGCAGGTTGCTGGTTTTCAGGGAAGGGGTTGTATTTCAAAATCTCTAGAGTAGTTTGAAATGTCCCCAGCTGTGATTATGCTCTGCTTCCTTCTTTGCATGCCCTCCTAGTTGAAAACCAGTGAGGGAGCTACAGCATGCCGCAGTCCAGAAGTCATTTTGTCTGTACTCTGTAATAGAATGAGTAGTAATGGTCTGGTTTTCATTGGACAACTGTAAAGACTTATAGAGAGGAACAGATCATGTATTTTCCCAATTTTTTTTTTTTCTCCCAAAGCCCCAGTGCATGGTTGTATATCGTAGTTATAAGTCCTTGTAGTTCTTCTATGTGAGCCACCACCACAGCGTGGCAACTGACAGATGAGTGGTGTGGTTCTGCAACTGGGAGACAAACCTGGGCCACCGAAGCAGTGAGAGTGCTGAACTTTAACCACTAGGCCAGGGCTAGCTCTCACGTGATTTTTTTTTTTAACATTAGGTATCAGGTTGTTTTGTTCTCCCCTTAGCTTGTTCAATGAATTTAGTGCATGATGTTCCATAAAGTAACCTCACAGATTGCTTCTAAACCTAAAAGTTCTTCTGTTTTATAGCCGGATGCGTAGTGATGGTTTTGATGAAGAAAGTCAAAGAGACTATTGGAGGCCAAAGAATGAAATTTCTGGGACATTAGAAGATGATTTTCTTAAGGCTAAATCCTGGAACAAGAAGTTATATGATTATGAAGCTAACATGCCAGACAGGTTTGTGACTAAATTCTTGTGACCATTAATGCTATTTGGCCTGAGAAAGTATACTTTTAAAAATTAATTATCGCTACAGAAACTTGTACACAAATGTTCATAGCATAACTATTGATAATGGCCAAAAAGAGGAAACCCAGATGTCTATCAACTAATGAATGAATAAACAAGATGTGGTATATTGAATGGTAATTGAATGTTATTTGGCAGTAAAAGGAATAAAGTAGTGATACATGGTACAGCATGGATGAACCTTAAAAACATTATGCTAGGTGAAAAAAGCCAGACACAAAAGGCATTTGTCTGATTCTTTTTTATATGATATGTCCAGAATAGGCAAATCTAGAGAAAGAAAGTAGATTAGTGGTTGCCATGGGCTACAAAAGAGGGAGGAATGGAGAGTTAACAGGTAGAGTTTCTTTTTGGGGTGATGAAAATGTTCTGAGATTAGATAGTGGTGATGGTTGCACAACTCTGAATATACTAAAAGCCACTGAATTGTACATGTTAAGAGGGTGAATTTTATGGTATATGAATTATATCTCAGTAAAGTTGTAATTTAAAAAATTTAAAAAAAATGTAGACAGCATTATGTTGTGAAGTGTTTTTGGAGAAGTACTTCACAGCTAACGAGCAGAGTATGAGTGTTCCTTAGTGTTTCTTAAGGAAGAGAAGGGCAAGTTCTCTTACAGATGGACAAAGGAATCCTTTGTGTCTGAAATGATAGTGTGCGGTACAGAAAATACAGCCAACTAAGTTACTGAGCTATAATGTGGCGTTGGCTCTACTTTATCTCTGTTTTCTTTGTTCTGTGTGTATATCTGTGTAAGCATGTGCTCGTAAGTCTAATTTGTCTTAATTTTAAAAATGTATGCATTGCCTTATAGTATGTGTAATAAAATATGTCATCTTACAGATGGGGTCACAGTGGTTATAAAGAGTTATACCCTGAAGAATTTGAAACAGACAGGTAAGGCAAATAGGCTTACTGAAGAAAAAGTTACAAACTAAGATTAGTACAAAGTCCAGACTATGAATTGAGTTCCTGATTTTTACAAAGGATATAACATGTGCCATTAAAAATGTAACCAGAGAAATAATAGGCAACTTAGCTGGGAGACCATTGGTGTTTTGCCTTTCCCTCATTGGTGTTCTGCGTATCTATAGCACTTAGGTTTTATATATAGGATTCCATACAGTAACTCAGTATGGCAGGTTAGAATTTTTATCTTCATTTTAAAGATAAGGAAACAAAAACTCAGTGAAGGTGATAGTCGCTTAGTAACCCTGTGTCAAAGCTCTGATTTAATATTTAGGTGTTAACCCCCAACTTCCTGTCTAGAATGTGGAATAGTAAAATATAAATACACTTTTTATTTTCTTTGGTAAAAGTTTCTCTTTTTTTATTAGTAGTGATCAGCAAGATATTACCAATGGACAAAAAACATCTCCCCAGGTAAAATCATCTTCCCATGAATCTCACAAACACAAGAAGTCAAAGAAAGCCCACAAAAAAAAGCAGAAAAAAAAGTCACACAAAAAACAGAAGAAAAGCAAAAAGGAAGCCACAGATATAACAGCAGATTCCTCAAGCGAGTTCTCAGAAGAAACTGGGGCTTCTAGTACCAGGAAAAGGAAACAACCACATAAGCACAAGAAAAAATCCAGGAAAAAGTCTCTCAGAAAACCTGCTTTATTCTTAGAGGCAGAAAGTGACAGTTCCCGGTCAGATGATTCCGCATCCAGCAGTTCTGAGGAAAGTGAGGAAAGAGACACTAAGAAAACCAAGAGGAAAAAGAGAGAGAAAAAAGTTCATATCCCTGTAGTTAACAATGAAATCCAGGAGAGGACAAACAAACGCACAAATTGGAAAGTGGCTACAGATGAAAGGTCTGCCGAGAGTTCAGAGGATGACTAAATGAGAAAGAAACACTCTCCAGTTTCCATGAGACCCTGGCTATTTACAGCTTTTACACCTTGGGGTTTCCTGTTGACTGTATTGCTCAGCACAGGGGGCCTGAGGTCAGAGCTGTCCTGTGCCATCTGTATACGTTCTCACAGACTTCTTATCTTTCATTTTGGCCTGTTAAACTTGACCCTCTTACTGTTAATAGGGAATCTGGTATTTTGTTATTAAGTTTTCTTGAAGAGATTATTTTTTGGCAATTAATCACTTTTAGCATAGAGTGCATATACAGCAAATTAAAGGACCCAGAAAGCTGAATCCAGTAATGACCTGGGTACACCAATTGGAATGTTGGATTTGGGGAAAGCAAGGAATGGGATCAAGAGGTGGATTGGAACCAGTGCTGTGTAGGATGGTATAAGGCAACATCAAGTTGCTCTCGTCTGTTTATATAGCAGGTGCCACAACTTGACTTTTTTTGTCTTCATTCTTGGTGCTTTCATCTTTCTGTATTTTGGCCCCACAGGTGTGGTCCTATTTACTTAATGAGGAAATGAGCATAAGAACATTTTCCCTTCATGATAACATCCATAGACAGCTGGTATTAGAAGAGACTAGGATTTTCTGTCAAATTCCCCTGCTGGACAGGGTCAGTGGCTACTCAATATACCCCTAAACATGGTAATTGGATACAAAGTGGTTTTCTAGTTCCATTGGTGCATATTGCCTAAATGGACTTGTGTTCAAAATTATTTCTTCAGTTGTCTTAGGTAAGTCCTCAACCAAATGGGGAAGAATGAGGAATTAGTCATGCCATCTAATGGTGCTCTGAACAGGATTCAGGGCAGCAACTGCCATTTAAATGTTATCTTCCTTGTTCATTTTTAGATCTGTTAATGAACTTTAGGTTTTCCCTGAAACTAGGTTCAATCAGTTCCAGAATGAAACAGGCTTCTCAGGGACATAGCCACTTCTTCCCAGTCTGCCTTTGGTTATTTCCCTTTGCTAAGATACAGTCATGTGTCGGTTAACAATGAGGATGCGTTCTAAGAAATGTGTCGTTAGGTGATTTTATAGTTGTGCAAACATCAGAGGGTACTTATACACCTAGGCTATATGGTACTAATCTTATGGGACCACTGTTGCACATGGGTCTGTTGTTGACCGAAACATCCTTATGTGGCGCATGACTACTGTGATCCCTACTATGTTAATTCTCAAGAAACCAAAATATCTTTGAACGAAGGCTGGCAGAACACAAGTGAATTTTTTCATTATGACAGATCAGGTGACACATTGTTTTTTCCTGGTTGTTGCTTCATGGGCTGAGTAAAAAGCTTGAAAACTCAGACTTTGGTCTTGGTTCTGCCACTGATTGGTTATGAGGTTCAGAGCAGGTAAGTTAACATCCCTAGCCTTACTTTTCCCATGTGTAATACAAACATATTTCATGGTAGCAGGACAGTGTAAGACACCAGCAATAGAATATAACTATGACAGCATTCCATGAGGTGGTAATACTTTGTGGTTCTAACTACTAAATTTGTTCTCTTTACAGAACAGATTTCTATTAAAATTCTTAGTCATAAAATACATGGTTGGCCAGAGGTTCCCTATCCCTTGATTATAAGCAGGTGCTACCTTTTGGGATATTTATTTGAAATATTAATACTTCGGTACTCAATTATCAGTGTTCCATGGTGTATATTTTTACCTTTGGGACTGGTAGGGGCCCAAGGGGGGAAGAACAGTCTATAATTACTACCTCTTAACCTAAAGCAACTGTTTTGTTCTTGGAGCAAGTGAAATCTGTTGGAAGGGATTTTCAGCATATATATTTTTAGCATTGTTTCTGTGCTATAAAATTACTGATTCTAAGCACAGACTCGGGAAGAGGGGCCAGTGGAACAAGGCATCTCCAGGAAGTGGCTTCTATTTAGGTCTTGACTTTTCCTTCCTCCCACACTAGCAGGCCTCTTTCCCAGCGAATATACATCTTGCCTGTTTTGTTTTGTTTGCCATGTTTACCTTTTCTTGGTCACGTATAAGCAATAAAGCTGTTTCCTGTTCTTCACCTTGCTCAACCCCAAATTCTCTTCTATGCCTTAGGCTAAAGCTTGGATGCTTCTTCCAGCCCCCTTAAATATGGCTTAGGATGGCTCATCAAAACCTAAGATCTCCCATTTGCAGTACTGGCTTTGGAACATATTTATTTCTAGTGTTCTTGCCAATCAGAGATTTCTATATTAAATCCTAAAATGGGATTCCAAAAAAAAAAAAGAGTTGGAGAATTGACATTTATTGAATAACTATTGTGATACAACATGGAATTTCTGAATTCCAAATAAATAAAATTCACTTTTTGAACATTTGATCTGTTCCTTTTTCGTACCAACAGGCTTGGTAATAGCCTGAAGTTGACCTGACTGACAGTGGGTTGACAACCTTCCCCCACCGGCCCTTCAATCTGCTTAATAACAAGTCTTTTGCTTCTTTTGTCATTGTCCCAGGGGCTGGCCTACTGCCCTCCTTTCTGTACAATCTGGGCAAACCGACTGGTGATAGTAAGAGTAGTGTCAATGAAGCGGTCCACACAGCTAGAGAGACAATTTTCAGTGCGAGAGTCTAGGCGATTCCCTGGCTTCTCCACACATTTATCCCAACAGAGTTCCATGAAGTGATGCACCTAAGAGGAAGGAAAAATAGTAACCATTGGGGTCTGCAGACAGGCCTACCAATTTTCTATTTCCTTCCCATTTTCCGTCACCTGACTAAATCATTCTTTCAATCAACAAACTATGGGCTCTCCTCTTTCCTCACTTTCTAATTTGTCATCAAGGTGGCTTAGATCCTTATCCCTACATTGCAACAATCCTCTATCCTCTCCTTTTCTGTTTTTCTCCTTTTTAGTAATTAAAAAATACTTCCCATCAAGTCACCCCTGTGTTTGTTAATGTATCAATTTCCCTGTTAGCCACTCAGGGCACTCCCTTATTTAATCTCCAGTCTGTACTGTTTCAATGAGGTCCACATAAAGCATACTCAACTTGACTCTTAATAATACTCCTGGAATGCCCTCCCTAAAGATTTCCCTATCCTTTAAAACAGTTAAAATTCTTACCTCCTTGAAGGCCACTGTCTATTATTTTCTTTTTGTGTCAAGTTCTTAATCAGATTGTAAATTTTCAGGCAGGGTTAATACCTTCTCTTATATTCTCAAACTAGCACCAGTGTAAACTGGGAAGGAAGGTACGGTACGAATTAATTCCCCCAAACCACTGCACTCATCTCATTCCAAACCTATCCCTTACAGAGTAGGTGAGTTCTTAACCTTTGGGGGGTAATGGTCATATTTTGAGAATCCGATGACGGTTATGGATCCACTCTCCTGAAAAATGCAAATACAGGCACAGAAAAGGTGTGCACTTTCATAATGTTCAGGACCCTAAGATTTCTAATCAGGATTCTTGTTACTTCTCCCCAACGAGCCCTCCCCCTCCTAAAAAAGGGGGGTTAGAAAATAACCATTTACTAAAGACTTACTTTTTGGGAGGCTGGGTACTAAACATTCAGTCAATCTTTTCTGCAGCCCTAAAAGACGACTGTCACCTCCGTTTAAGAGGTGTGGTTAAGTAATTAGCCCAAGGTCATGCGGCTAGTAAGAGACGACGCCAGGGTTGCAACCATGCCTAAAGGGCTTCAAAAAACCCTTGTTCTAATCTAATAGTCTAGACTGTCTCCAGAGCCCATCTTTGTCCGATTATGTTCTACTGCTCTATCGTTTTCAAATACATTGTCGCATATGATCCTCACAATCCAGTAAGGCAGCGAGCGACAACGAAACCAAGACTCAGTGGATGGGTGCCTTGTCCAGGGGCACGTGGCCGGCAAGAGGCAGAGGCAAGCTTAGAACCCAGATCTTCTGAATGCCAGCCCAGAGAGCTCGCCGCCAACGCAGGCTCCCATGCCCTTCCGTCGCCCAACTCTTTCTTCTGCTTGACACCTTCTCGTCTCCCCAGGCTGGGCCTGCTTAGCGGCACCTGAGCACTATCGGTCACCAGCAGCCAAGTCCTCTCTGCTGTGAGGGGAAGCTGGCGTAGCAGAGATGGAGCATCAGGCGGCCTCACTGCGCCGCCACTGTACCCGGCACCCGTACTTCACCCTCCTTTCTCTTCACCCTGGTCCTTGTCCCCGCACCTGTGCAGTGAACTGCGCCTTCTGCTGTTCAGCCGCCACCAGGCGCTGCAGTTCCGCTTCATCCGCCTCACGCAAGTCCGCCATTCTCCGCGTTGGACTCCGGACCTTCCGTCGAATGCGTATGCGCATGCGCAGCGGGCACGCGCGCGGACACCCGACTTCCGGTTCACGCTGTGTTTTCCTTTTCGTTGTTTTCGTTCACCGTTGTGGGGCGGGAGTTGTCGTATAACTGCTTCCGGGTTGCTGGATGACCTTGAGCCTTCAGGAGCGAGATGGCGATTCTCTGGAGGCTGAGTGTCCTCTGCGGTGCCCAAGGAGGCCGAGGTGAGGAATCTTGGCGGCTGGAGGTTCTTAGCCCAGCCTCCAGCCGGGGAAGGACATGCGCTGAGGATTCGTCTGCAGGGTGGTGAGACCTCTTGAGCAGGGAATCCCTCCTCCTTTCCTTTGGCCGCTCTGGCTCCTGCCGAAACCACGGCAGTGACCACCCTTGCTTCCTGACCCAGACGTTCGCCCGAGCGCGTATCTCCGCTGCTCTAGGCTGGCGTGGTGATGGGGTAATCTGACAAAGAGCTTCTTCTGGAAGTTACAGTCCTGCTGAGGCTATTCCTAAAAGTTCTCTTTTTCTCCCCATTCACTGTCCTTCGAATGCTCCCACCCTGAAACAGAAAAGTGTGTTGGAATCTAAGTGCCAAAGCCTGGTCTTGCCCATTTCCCCTGCAGTTGGTGTAGAGGTGGGGGGGATCAATTCGATAATCATGGAACTGGGTTATACCAGGTACTCTAGTAAGGTTAGCATAAATGTGAATAAAACATAGTTCCTGCGCTCAAAGAGTTTTCATTTTTATAGGGAAAACGCATATAAGCATAATTTAACATAAAGCAAAAAGAATTGTGTTGTACGTAAATTGTTATGCTAGTCCAGAGGAAGAATACATTTAGCTCTATTTTGGAAAGATTACCTTGCCCTGGTTCCTGAAGGAGGTGTGCCTGATTTGAGTCTTGAGGATAAGGATAGCTATGGGAAGAAGGGCACATCACAGGTAGAGCTGCAGGGATGAGCAAAAGCATTGATGAAGTTGTAGAAACTGCTTGGTATGAGAAAAAACAAAACAAATCAGATACTGGAGTGTGAAGCTCAAGTTGAGAAATGAGAGATGAATCTATAAAGGTGAACTGGAGTCAAATCACAGAAGAACTTGTCTTGATAAGGAGTATGCATTTTACCGGGTATGAAGGTGGAGCCATTGAAAGATTTGACATATGTTTGCAGCAGATTAAGCACTTTGGTACAATGTGGTGGATGGCTATCATGGGAGATGGGGCAGGCTAAGACACAAGTCAGGGAGATCAGATAGGACACTGTTGTTGTAGTAGTCCAGGCAAGGATGGTGAGGTCTTGAACTTGGAAAGTAGTTCAAAAAAGAGAAGATTGTCTCAAGAAATGTTAAGGAGTTAGATCAATATGATTTATCAATTGACTGAATTTAGGGACAAAGTCCTACATGACTTGCAGATTTCCGGGTTAGGTTAAAGAGTAGCTGAGATGTCATTAAATCAAGTAAGGAACATGCAAATGGGAGCCAGGTTTGGATGAGAAAGTGAGTTAAAGAATGATTTTAGTTTTTGGCATGGTTTGAGGACCACGTAGGATATCTCAGGGGAGATACTGAGCAGGCACTTTAACTCCTGAAACTCTGGAGAGATACCAGGGCTAGAGATACAGAATTGGGTGTCATCAGCTTATACGTAATAGAAGCTGAGTGGACGAAATGGCCAGGGGTGGGCACAGGAAGCAAAGAGAGCAATGGGCAGATGATAGAATCCTGGGAAAATGTTTAAGAGTGAATGCAGGACGAGGCTGATATAGGATGGCCAAAGAATCAAAGGGAGGACCAGAAGAGAGTTTTGTCAAAGAAAAGAAGGGAGGAAGCGCCACCAATGCCAGGTGATGCAAAAAGGCCCAATAAGATGGATACTGAACAGTACCTGTTGGATATGGCCCCATGGAGACCATTGGGGACTTGCCAAAACAGCTTTGGTGGGAATGAAGACAAGTTTCAGAGTTGAAAAATGATAGGAAAGTAAGGAAGTTGAAGTGATTTAGACGACACTTTAAAGAAGCATGGTTAGAAAGGAAAGAAAGAGAGCAGGGCAAGAGTGCACAGGCATTAGAGGACATAGGATCAAGGGAAGGGTTAAGTATATTACATCAGTTGAGGCAAAATGACCAATAGGAAGGAAGGAGAGGTTAAAGATACAGGAGAGAAATTTTTACCTTTTATTGAGTGCTTATAACATTCTGGGAATTATGCTGAGCACCTTGCATATATTGTTTAATTTTCAACAGAGTATTATGACCTGCTGTTACTTCATTTTACAAATGAGGACATTCAGGCTTAGAGAACCTGTTTAACTTAATTGCTCATCATCTCACAGCTAGTAAGTGGTGGAGTTGGGTAAACCTGGTCTGTCTGTTTTTTAACCCAGAGACAGGATCCCAAAGGGGACAGAGAGGGATGAGTTCAAGAATACAAGTGGAGAAATTAATCTTGAGAAGCAAGACAGTAGTAGATGAACTTCCCAGACTAGACTGAATTCCTTACGACAAAGACTTTGTCTTTTATCTCTTGCTCCAGTGCAGAGCATAATCTTACATGTAGTGAATGTTTGTTGCATGAATAGATGAATACATGGAAGGAGAAAGGAGCCATAATTTACTTTTTTTTTTTTTTAAAGATTGGCACCTGAGCTAACAAATGTTGCCAATCTTTTTTTTTTTTTCCTGCTTTTTCTCCCCAAATCCCTCCAGTACGTAGTTATACTATGTGGCTCCTTCTAGTTGTGGCATGTGGGACGCCGCCTCAACATGGCCTGATGAGTGGTGCCATGTCTGCACTCAGGATTTGAACTGGTGAAGTGGAGGGTGCGAACTTAACCACTCGGCCATGGGGCCGGCCCCCATAATTTACTTTTTTTTTTTTTTTTTTTAAAGATTTTATCCTTTCCTTTTTCTCCCCAAAGCCACCTGGTACACAGTTGTATATTCTTCGTTGTGGGTCCTTTTAGCTGTGGCATGTGGGACGCCACCTCAGGCGTGGTTTGATGAGCAGTACCATGTCCTCGCCCAGGACCCAAACGAACGAAACACTGGGCCACCTGCAGCGACCCCCATAATTTACTTTTTAAAATTAGTAAAAATGAAGTCCTTTTACGTAAGTGGTTCATTGACAGTTCGATCTTTCAGTGGCTGCTTAGTCTGACCTCACAGCAACCCAGTGAAATAGATGCCATCCTCATTTTAGAGATGAGGTGTTATCCTATTTGGGGTTAAGTAGCTTGCCTATGATCATTTAGAAAGTCTGTCAGGGGCTGGCCCCGTGGCCGAGGGGTTAAGTTCGTGCGCTCCGCTGCAGGCGGCCCAGTGTTTCGTTGGTTCGAATCCTGGGCACGGACATGGCACTGCTCATCAAACCACGCTGAGGCAGCGTCCCACATGCCACAACTAGAAGGACCCACAACAAAGAATATACAACTATGTACTGGGGAGCTTTGGGGAGAAAAAGGAAAAAAATAAAATCTTTAAAAAAAAAAGTCTGTCAATCCTGTTAAAGGAGAGGTGCTTATCATCCCCTTAATGGTTCTTTCCTCAGCTCTCTTGCTCCGAACCTCAGTGATCAGACCTGCTCAAGTCTCAGCATTTCTCCAGGACCGACCTACCCCAGGATGGTGTGGATCGCAGCAAATTCACCTGTCACCCACCCGCCATTGTATGTTTTCTCCATTGGCTCTGCTTTCTGGGCTCTGGCCATCTTCATCTGGGCTAATTATCACGCTACTGGCAGGACTTGCTGTCTGTGGTGGGACCTCTTATGTCTAACTCTGTCAAATGAAGACCTAGCCTACACCTTTGAGCAGATAATGCCAGCATGGTTGTATGATGCCATTTACATTCATAGAGAACCTTCTGGTCTATGTCTTTTCAAAAATTTTAGTTTTTTAAAAAGAAAATAGCTCTGTAGGAAGAGTGTTGTATATAGTTTAGTCACTCTTATTTATTTAGCTAATGGAGAGGAGCCAGATGTGGATACTTTAGAATAGTAGACAATTAAAAAAGTCATGCATATTTATAGCTGTAATTGACTTGCTTATTAGGTTGATATTAAAATCATGGAATTTCTTGGATGAATACTGTTTACGTATTATTAAAATTAGTCTTAAAAAAGCTATAGGTGAATAATGAGTTAACTAATTATTTTTAAAGTCTGGAAATATCAGTATTTTACAGAGAGAAAGACTTCTCTTGATACTTGAGTCAGCCATTTAGAGATGCTTGCATCCGAGTTATGAGAAATTAGGCAACTGTAGTTTTTCTGCTTTTTAGAATTATTTTAGCTTCGAAAAGTTTTTATTTCTGCATTCCTTTGCTTAGTTCAATTAGGTTTAGCAGGGTGGTTTTAACTTGGTGTGCATGGGACTGAAGGAAAGCCCCTGACATTGTGTACATTGTTTTTAATGTCTTTGTCTACATGCATTTTTCCAGGAAGTAGCTCCATCCTTTTGTTAGATTCCCAATGGAGTCTGTAACCAAAAAAAGATAGAGACTCTCAAAGAAATGTTTAAAGCTCATTTTGTTTTTCACTTGTTTAAAGGAAGTTTTCATGTTTCATATCTGTTTTGGGCTATTTATAAGTGATGGAACAGAAGGACCATGATCCTAAAACTTGACATCAGAATTTTGCTTCTCTTTGAGTTGGCTGGTTTAATTTTGTTTTGGGAGGCTTTTTAAATATTACCTTACTTCCAAAGATTACAAGGTGTAAATAAAAGACTAATATTTTAAAGGAAATCCTCAAGTGTCACTAACTTATATTTGTAAGGTATCTGTCCATTACACTGAAGTCCAAGATTAGTCATTCTGCAAAGACATTTCGTCCATCTTCTTGCCTATCAGCAAAGCGGATCTGTCTTCTAATCAGTGTTTGTAGGCATTGAGAAGCCCTGTGCTAAAAGACTTCAGACAAGGGAGATAGCACCTCTCTCAGTTACCTTCTTAATCTCACCCTCTTTATGCTCCGAGTTGAGTCTTATTGCATACTGTTTGCCATTCTGTCAGTTTGGATTATTTTGTGGCAAATATTGAATGTGAGAGATGTGTTTCCCCCTTCAACTCTTATGAATTTGGTCCTTTTTTTCTCTAGCTGGTTCCAAGGCTGCATCTCTCCACTGGACTAGTGAGAGGGTTGTCAGCGTTTTGCTCCTGGGCCTGCTTCCAGCTGCTTATTTGAATCCTTGCTCTGCGATGGACTACTCCCTGGCTGCGGCGCTCACTCTCCATAGCCACTGGCAAGTACAGCAGTCCCTTCAGTACTGCATCGTCTGCTCAGTTTGTTTGCTGTGAGCTTGTCTCTTTGTTGCATATGAGGGAGAAGTTGATTGAGCTACTCAAGACCTGTGGAAAACTTTAAAATATATATAAAACATTTATATGCCCAGATTTATGTACCCACCTACTCAATGTCTTCACTTCCATATCTAATAGGCATTTGAGTATAGTGTGTTATAAAAAACTGAGTTTCTGATCCCCCCACGTCTCTTCCTCCAGCACTCTTGCTCATCTGAATTAGTGGCATTTACCTTCTTCTGTTTGCTCAAGCCCTAAGCTTGGTAATCATCCTTGATTCCAGTAGTAGTCTCCTAACTGCTCCCCGTTCTGTCTGTTCCCAACACAGCAGCCCCAGTGATCCTCTTAAAATATTGTTAGGTCAAGACATTTCCCTTCTCAAAACCGCTTGTTGTCTCCTAATCTTACTCAAACTAAAAGTCAGAATTCTTACAGTGGTTTACAGATTCTGTGTGGTCCGGCCCCATTTCTTCCCTTATCTCCAGGTACGCTCTCCTTATTCACACTGGCTTCTGTGACATTTCTTGAACATGCCAGGGACACTCCAGGCCTCGGGGCTCTATGCTTACTGTTCCTTCTGCCTAAAACTCACTTTTTCTAGTTATACTTCGTTTATTCCCTCATTTCCTTCACATCTTATGTGTCACCTTCTCAGTGAAGCCTTCTCTAACCACTTATTCGAAATTGCAGTGTCCTTCCCAACGTTCCTTATCCTTCCCTCTTGTTTTATTTTTCTCAGTGGCACTCATTACCTTCTACTATACTATGTCATCTATTTATTATTTTGTATATTCCTTGTCTCCCCTCACTAGAATGAAGGCTCGGATATAGAAAAACACAAAAATCAAATCTATGGCTTAATGAATTATTATAACAGTAATACTACTCAGGTCAAGAAATAAGAACTTTGCCACCTACTCCAGAAGCCTCTTCTTGTGTTCTGTCTCATTCATAACTGTTCAACCCCCAACCAGGAACCGCTATCCTGATTTTTGTAGTAATCACTTGTTTACATTTCATCATAGTTTTATCACCCAAATGTGTATCCCTATATACTATAGTTCAGTCTTGCCCTTTCTTTTTTTTTTTCAAATTGGCACCTGAGGTAACAGCTGTTCCCAATGTTTTTTTTTTCTTCTCCCCAAAGCACCCTTGTGCATAGTTGTATATTCTAGTCGTAGGTCCCTCTGGTTGTGCTATGTGGGAGGCCGCCTCAGCATGGCCTGATGAGTGGTGCCATGTCCATGCCCGGGATCCAAACCTATGAAACCCTGGGCCGCCAAAGCAAAGTGCGTGAACTTAACCACTTGGCCACGGGGCTGGCCCCAGTCTTGCCCTTTTTAAAAAATGAAGTATCATATGGATTTTTGACTATTTTGTCTGCTGTTATATCTTTAGTGCCTAGAACAGCACCTGACACACAGTACTAAGTAAATACCTGTTGAATGAATGAATTTCCAGTTTCTGTTTATTTTTTCCGGTGTAGTTTGTTAGACTTTCTAAGTTAGTGAACCTCCTAGAAAATTGTAAATAACAGGTTTCTTGACTTGTTCATTTATGTTGTTTGGCAAGGACAGTATGACACTGGGTAGGGGAGGCGTTTTCGGATTGTTAGAACGGAAAGGACGAGGGGAGTATCTTAACCCACCCTGTTATTTTATCGATGTGGAAATGAAACCTCAGGGAGGTTAAGTGACTTGTCAGAAGCATTTTCTAGCTAGTGTTAAAGGAGATTTTGCTTTCTTGGGGTTTTGAGGTGGGTTAGGAGAATTACCCTTTAACCAGATAGACTTTTCAAAATAAAGGATTCTAGTTGTGTATAAAATATCAGCTCACAGGTACAGTAATACTTCTCTAATATGTGTTTCTTGGAAGGAGATCCATCTAAATTAATGAAAAATCACAATAAGAGATAATTCTAAAGTAATGCTTTTTTTATTGGTTTCTCCTCCAGTTGCCTTACTAATTGTCCTTCTTTTTCACACACACAAAAAGACTTGAAAGAGTTGTCTGTAACTGTGCACTAGTTCCTCAGCATCCAGTCTCTTAACACACATTAATTGGACCTTTATCCCAACTATTGTACTGAAGTCTTTCTTACCAAAGTCACCAAAGACCTTCATTTTTCCAAATCCAGTTGTCTATTCTCTGTCCTCCACTCACTTCAACTCTCAACAGCATTCTACTTAATTGACCATTTCTTCCTTAAATAATGTTTCTTTGACTTCCTAGATGCCATACGTACCTTGTTTTCTTCCACCTCACCAGCTGTACCTTCTCGGTCTCCTCCGCCAGCTCCTTGTCGTCTTGTTTGACTTCTAAATAATAAAGGTCTGAACCCCAGGCTCAGTCTTGGCTTTCTTAATTTCTCCATGTACACACTTTCCAGAGGTGAGCTCAGATCTGACCTCTGCCCCTGGTTGCAGATTTATATTTGCAGTTGTCTAACTGACATGTTCACTTAGATGTTTCATAGTCATCCTGAATTTAACATTGCCAAAATCACTCTTTTTCCCCCCAAATCTCTCTTGATTTCCCCTCAAAACCACCTACTCCCCTCTTCTTCCCTAACTCAATTAAATCTGGTTGCTCAAGCCAAAAATCCTGGGAGTCATTCTGGATATTTCTTTTTGTCTTACCCCACATCCAGTCCATCAACTTTTTCTGTTAGTTCTCTCCTCAAAACATAGCCTGGGTTCTCACGCCACAGTATATCCCCGTCACAGCCTGGGTTTAGCCAACAATCTTGCCTAGGCTACTTCAGTTGCCTCCTAGCTAGTTCTCTGTTTCTCTTCTTGCCCCCTTTCTCCTGCCTGCACTGTCCATTCGCCACGCTACCACCAGAGTGACCTTTTTAAAAAGTAAAATTACATTTATCCTAAGAAGATATACAAATGCCTAATAAGCACATGAAAAAATGCTCAACATTGTTTGTTATTAGAGAAATGCCAATCAAAACCAGAATGAGATACTACTTCACACCCACTAGAATGGCTCTATAGCTGTGGAGAAGTTGGAGTCCTCATGTAATGTTGAGAATGTGAAACGTTGCAGCCACTTTGGAAGACACTTTGGCAGTTCCGTCTAAAAGTTGTGGAGTTTACCATGTGACTCAACGATTCTACTTTTAGGTGTATAACTCCCAAAATTGAAAACATATGTCCCCACACAAAAACTTGTGTAGTAGTGTTCATAGAAGTGTTATTTATAATAGCCAAAAAGTGAAAACAATCCAAATGTGTATCAGCTGATGAATAGCTAAGCAAAATGTGATATATTCTTAGAAAGAAATATTATTTGGCCATACAAAGGATTGAAGTAATGACACTTGCCACAATATGGCTGAATCTTGAAAACATGCTAAGTGAAAAAAACTCAACACAAAAGGCCACATATTGTATGATTTCATTTATGTAAAATGTCCAGAACAGGCAAGTCCATTGAAACAGAAAACAAATTAGTGGTTGGGTAATGGGCTAGTGGGTACAGCGTTTCTTTTTGGGATGATGAAAATGTTCTGGAATTAAATGGTGATGATGTTGCACAAACTCTGTGAATATACTAAAAGCCCTTGAATTGTACACTTTAAAAGGGTTAATTTTACGGTACATGAATTATATCTCAATAAAACTTATTTAAAACAAAGTAAAATTAGGTCATTCCCTGCTTAAAGCACATCCCTGGCTTCCCATTGTGTTTCAAATAAAATTCAAACTCCTTATCATGACCTTCAAGGCCTTATGTTTTCTGCCCTTGCCTTCTGATCTCCATGTTCTCCAGCTGCACTGACCTTTTGACTATTCCTCAAAGATAGCAAGATCATTGTCACTTTTATTTGGAATGTTCTTCTCATTCAGGTCATCCTTTCTAAAATATTTCTTTAGAGCACGTATGTACTTTTTCTTCAGTAGAATGTACCATAAAGGGCAGGGATGCTGTCTTGTTTGCTCTTCTCTCAACATCTGTAACAGATTCTGGCACATAATATCTGCCTGATAAATTCTTCTTGAATTAATGAAAAACTCGGTAGAGCATATGGTTTAGTTTGAAAGAAAAAACCCTAGATTTTGTAAATAGAGTAGTAATTATTTACTGTCTCTGATATAAATGATTCTGGAAAATTGAATCTGAAGAATAGGAAGAATTTATTATATTATTAGAAAACTCTTGAGTCCTTCATTTTGGTTTATGGTTCTTGTTACCATGAGTTGCATTTTGAAGCTGACTGATTATTTTTTGCAGCCAAGTTATCTGTATAGCCTTCTAACTTCACTTGTGATTTTTCATTTGTACTGTGATTTTTTTATTTCTTTAGGGGCCTTGGACAAGTTGTTACTGACTATGTTCGAGGGGATACATTGCAGAAAGCTTCCCAGACAGGCCTTTTGGCGCTCTCGGCTTTAACCTTTGCTGGGCTTTGTTATTTCAACTATCATGATGTGGGCATTTGCAAAGCTGTTGCCATGCTGTGGAAACTGTGACCTTTTTGACTTAATACCTTGAGAATTGATTGTACACCTCTTTGCCTCTGCTCTGTCATGCCATTCAACTCACAATAGGGAGGAAATAACAGATAAGTCCATTGGTGTGACAAACCTCTTCTCCTAGTCACCTGGTTGTTTTTAGAATTTACTCTTTGAGGAAAAGGTTTGAGAGGAACTGTATCCAAGAAATTGTGAGACTGAGTTCCATATTCTAGCGAGTTGAGGGATTGTCTCCCAGTTTCCCACAAGACTCACAGTGTAACTAAACATTATATATGAGCTTTTGCCTTTTAGTTTATCGAACTCTTAAAGGGAATTCACCTTTATTACTATCACTACCTGATCAAACATCTGTATTTGTCCCGGGAGTGATGGAGAAAGGGAAAGACTTTGCAGAAAATTAGGCAGTGTTTAATTTTTGAAACTTTCCCTTTCTGTTTAGTCGATACCAGTTACTGATGGTTACATGTTCTAGGGAAACTTTAAAATTAGGAAATGCTGGTATTTCATATTACTAATTTCTAAATCCTAGGAAGAGCCTGGAGAGCTTCTGAATATAGAGAAGTTCCATGTAGGGAAGAGATCCCCTTATAGATGTATCAGATATTACAGATGCTAAGCTGAGACTTAATCCTCAAATGTGTTTATTTTACTTGTCCTAAAATAATCTGTCCACAAATATAAAACTGTAAGTAATAAATTGTTATTTTCCCACTATGGGACTCACCAATGTGAAAATGTATTCTATGAAAATAAAGTTTTTTAAAAATAAAATGCTATATAATAAAAATGTATTCTTTTATGTAATAACTGTCCCTAGTTTTATTCAATAGAACTGAGTGTGTGTTTCATCTACAGCACTAAAACAGGACCTAGTGCTTAAATTTCCTTCTGGGGCTTAGCAGTTAGGTAAATCTGATGCAAAGTACTGTACTACAAAAAAGACTTACATGTTATTGGCAGACATATACTGAGTATGAGTAGTTTGGTATGAGGAGAGTATTAAGATTAAGTAGTAGGTGTTAGGTAGGAAGGGTGTCTAATCCTAACAAATTTCGTTAGCTGAGGATTGAGAAGGTAGAGTGGAGGCTGGTTGGGTACTGCCTGCCACAGGGCCTGGTTGGTTTTGTAATTAGGGTAGAGCTGAGCTGTCACTTTGGAAAATCAGTGGGTTGCTGTGAGCTGCTGGAGCAGCAGGGAGAAGAGGTAGGGGCTACCAGCAATAGGAGATTTCTAAGGTTAAGCAGGGCATGATCAGAACTGTGCTTCAGAAAGAATTTAGGTGATATTAGGAAGTTTGATAAACTAGAGGCAGAAGGACGTTTAAGAGGATAGAGGTAGAAGAAAGGGCCCGAACCTGGGCAGTCAGTGGAAAGTAGGAATTAGTTTCATAAGGTATTGTAGAAATCAAAAACATTCATTCAGTAGGTACTTAGAACCCCATGGAATTGGCACTGCACCAGGTACTGTGGCTAAAGAGAGAAGAATTTCTCTGCCCTTAAAAGGAATTGATAGTCTAATTGGGACAGGTGAATGATTGCAATATAGTGTGATAAGTGCAATAATAGTTAAGCACATCGAGCAGTGATGTAACAAAAGGTGCAGTAAGAATTTGCTTGTGGGGCCCCGTGGCCGAGTGGTTAAGTTTGCACGCTTCGCTGCAGGCAGCCCGGTGTTTTGGTGGTTCGAGTCCTGGGCACGGACATGGCACTGCTCATCAAACCACGCTGAGGCAGCGTCCCACATGCCACAACTAGAAGGACCCATAACTAAAATATACAACTATGTACCCGGGGGCTTTGGGGAGAAAAAGGAAAAAAAAATAAAATAAAAAAAAGATTAAAAAAAAAAAAAGAATTTGCTTGCAAGTTTCCTGGAAGAGTCTTGACTTGGGTTCTGAAAGATAAGGAGCTGACAGGTGGCCAAGGAAGCTGGGGTGAGGCGTGAGCATAACTCGAGGAGCATACATGGAGCAGAAGATTGCACGCGATTTGGTAGGACTGCAGCATAGACGGGGACTGATTGTAGAGGACTATATATGCCAGGGGAAGTCATTGAGACTATCTTAATGGCAATGAAGAGTCATCGAAGATTTTTAATTATGCAAATGATGTGGTCAGATGTTTCTTTTAAATATTCATGCTGGCAGCTGTGTGAAGTGTGGATCTGAGTGAGGTAAGCATGGAAACGGAGATTATTTCAGTGATCCAGAAAAGAAATGCTGAATTCTGAAGGCAGTAGTAGCCAGAATGAAGAAGAGAACAAATTGAGATGTTTAGAACTTGGAATCAATAAGAGTTGTACTGGGGTGTGAAAGATGGAGAGAGGAGGGAGACTGTGCTCAATTTTTTTGTCATAAATAGGTGGACAGGAAGTGGTGTCATTATTTATTTATTTATTTATTTATTTATTTGAGGAAGATTGGCCCTGAGCTAACATCTGTGCCCATCTTCCTCTATTTCATATGTGGGACGTCTGCCACAGCATGGCTTGACAAGTCGTGTGTACATGTGTACCGGGGATCCAAACCAGTGAACCCTGGGCTGCCAAAGTGGAGCATGCAAACCTAATTGCCACACCACTGGACTGGCCCCGAATGGCGTCATTAATTTTTGAAGGAGAATTAGATATGGTAGTGGGGGGGTAGGTCACTACCCAAGTTTTGGATTTGTGAGATATCCAAGAAGAGATAGAATTTGTCAACTTCTATTTTGGGCTATATGACAGACTAAATTTTAGAAGTTATTTTACTATGACGCACCTAAGGACGTTATATGAGAAGAACACCCTTTAAAACATGACTGAGGGGCCGGCCTGGTGGTGTAGTGGTTAAGTGCACACACTCTGCTTTGGTGGCCTGGGGTTTGGTGGATCCTAGGTGCGGACCTATGCACTGCTCATCCAGCCATGCTGTGGTGGTGTCCCACATACAAAGTAGAGGAAGATGGGCATGGATGTTAACTGAGTGACGATCTTCATCAAGCAAAAAGAGGAAGATTGGCAGCAGATGTTAGCTCAGGGCCAATCTTCCTTACCAAAAATAAAAAACGTGCAGAGAGTGATTTAAAAAAAACATGAATAAGTTTGCAAAATGAAACCCTTTCAAGCCAAAACAAAATGAGCATGCATTTAGGGAGGTAAGCAAATGCCAGTGGCATCAATTGCCCTGAGATTGTTTAATAAAATCCCAGGTGACCTGGAGTTCTCATTTCAAGAAGGCAACGTGGGCTAGGAGCAAAGCTTTGGACTCAAATTGGAGTTAGATTGGAGATTCCCTAAAAACAGGAACCACAAAGAGTTTTGCCTTCAAGGAAGGGTGAATTAAGTAATTTTTACCTGAAAAAGCGGAGAGCAGAGAAACTTGTCTGTTCTGGTTGGAGGAAAGAATATCTCCTTGGAGAATATGCGGCTAAGGGCCAGCCCTCATGGCAGTTTGCGGCCTGAGTTCATACTATCTGCGTGTCTCAAAAGACTACATGCTGCAAGTGTAACGTTTCCCCAGCTTGGTAGTGCCCCAGATGCCGGGCAGAAGTAAACAGATCCTTACTGGAGGAAGGTTTCCCCAACACAAGCCTCAGAAATGCCCACAAAGTTCCAATGAACTGAACTTCCAGCAAAAAACCACAATACATACAGGAACACCCTGAACAAGAGTCAGCACAAAAACCAGAAAGAACCACATCCCCAAAGAATTCAGACCCTGGCGGAATTTTCAGACACAGAATATAAACACAATGTGATGGAAGTCTAAATATAAGTCAGTTGTCAGATCAAGCATCAGAAGGTCTTTGGAGAAAGTGGTCTCCCCTTCATGTTCTCTTCTCCATCCACAGAATCTTGGGAGCTGGAGTCTACTTAGGAAAGTCATCTGTTTCTCTGGAGTCCTTACAATGAATGTCGGGGTCAATTCTCAGTCTGGATATCCAAATTATAGAATCCTAAGCACTTTACACTACACTGGGAAGCATGTGTCCACGGCTCTGGGCCTGGACCTTAAGAACTATATTTGAAGTTAAAAGTACCTGAAATGGTTGTAAGGCTGACGTTTATTGGCATCTCTTCTACTAAATCTAGTCTCCCAGTTGTGGATTATGCTGGTGATGGTAGGGGGCGCAATATGTCTGATGATAGGCCTTTCAGAGATATAACCTGTATGTTGGGCATAAGACTGTGTATATAAGATTCATTTTTGAAAAAATGTAGTGATTGCAACATACCAAGCATGGAGTCTGTTAGGGGATGAGTCAAACTCAGCCTCATGAGGTCTTTCTGTAACAGTTTCATATGAGAGCTTATGAAAATTTTAAAATGTAACTTGGAATGTCATTAGGCCTAGGCATAAAACTTAGAACTAAGGGAAAGTTTCAGTCTAACCAGAAAAGTTATAAACTGTTATTTAAAAGTACTTAAAGGGTTGTAATTTGGTCAACTGAATTAAATCCGTTTGTAAATATTCAAATGGTCTTTGATGTGGGGATTTCTTCATACGTTTTCTGGATTATAATTAAAATGAGTAAAATTTTATCACTCGTTAAGCCTCCTAGGTAAAAATTTTTTAACTAATATTTTTGCAAAGTTTGAGCCAATTTGTTCCTGTAATTTGGGCTATTATTAACTCCTTCAGCATAATTATTTTCAGTCTGGAGGTCATTTGGGAGACACCATGCAGTATGAAACAGTCTTGACAAAGCTGGTGTCTTTCCCCTGATCCACCCTCACACCTCCAATGAGGGAAGAGTGTTGTATTTTATTTATTTATTTATTTATTTATTGCTGAGGAAGATTTTCCCTGAGCTATTTTGTATGTGAGTTGCCCCCACAGCACAACCACTGATGAGTGGTGTTTGTGTGTGCCTGGGAACTGAACCCAGGCTGCCGAAGTGGAGCACACTGAACTTAACCACTAGGCCAGGGGGGCAGCCCCCCAGAGTGTTGTATTTTAATTAGTCTGTCTTATAAAGAAATAAGATTGAACAGCTGTCTTTATAATATGTTGGTAATGCTAGAAAGGCCCCTTTGTATGGTAGTAGGCTTTATAGTATTAACTTTAGTATAGGCTTTATTCTTTTTTTTTTTTAAATATTTTATTTTTTCCTTTTTTCTCCCCAAAGCCCCCTGGTACATAGTTGTATATTTTTAGTTGTGAGTCCTTCTAGTTGTGGTATGTGGGATGCTGCCTCAGCATGTCATGATGAGCCATGTCTGTGCCCAGGATCCAAACCAGCGAAACCCTGGGCTGCTGAAGCGGAGCATGCGAACATGACCACTTGGCCGTGGGGCCAGCCCTTAAGCTTTATTCTTAATGACAAAGTTTCTCTGGGTGTTGTCAATAAGACAATAATTTATTTTCAATTTTTGTTTGAATTGTCTGAGGAAGTCAGAAAATACTTTTGATTGCACAATATGCTGAAATCTCAAGCAATCCTGAATGCTCATCCATAGACAGCATGGACGTTAATTCTTAATTATTTAGCAAGATGGCATGCTCTTAATAGAGCTATCAGTTCAGCTGTCTGAGATGTTGGTTCCATCTGAATATTTTGAAAATATTCCAAAATAGAATATTTCAAAAGTTACAGCATATTTAGGATAAAGTATACCTTGATTCTTTTTAAGTTATGAGTCATCATCAAATGGTAATATATCAGGGTTGTACATGATAGCATCAGTCAAAACAGGATGAGGCGTGCTTAGAGTTTAACAGCTGTTGAAAAGAGTGAAATTACCCTTTATCAGGAAGGAGAAGTAGGGCAGCTAGATTTAGATTGGAGCAGCATTTAATAGTTATAA